ACAAAAAATTTTCTTTTAAGTTAAATGGGTTTTTTTAACATTAATAATTTCTTATTATTAAGATAAATTATAAATTATGAATACAAAATAAGAATACAACAATGATAAAACATAAACACATATAAAAAATACCTAAATCTTAAAATTCAAAAATTGAAAAAATAAAATAATCATAAACCGAAAAAGAAATTGATTAAAACAAATTATTAAGATTAAAGCCTTTCTAGAAGTAGAATTATTTGTATAAATAAATTAAATTATAAATTGAAATAAAACAAAAAAAAACAAGTATATGAGTTTAGACTTGCATTAAAGGGGACTAATATAAGAATAAGTATGAAACTTAAACTTAAGGTTAAAACATTTATCGACAAAGTTAAAAAAAAAAAAATCATGAAATAGGTATAAAATAAGACCAAAAATTAGTTAATAGAAAATATAAACTCACAGTAACTTCAAATTAACAATGATTCTTTCTCGTCACTGGTATAACTAATTAGAAAACTAAAGTCTTACTCTTGAATAAATTAAAAATCAAACAGTATAATCAATTAATGATTACAATTAAAAAATTAAAAATCAAATAATTAATAATTATAATAATCAATAACTTTAGAAACATATCTCAAAAGAAATTAAAAATCTGTTATTATGAAAAGTGTTAAAATAGTAGGGTTATATTTTAAATTGATAAACGAAACAAACATGAGTTTAAGCAATAAATTACGAAACAATTTACAAATAATTTTAAATTTAATATTTTTACTAAATAATTAACTTTTATACTTTAATTTTTTATTTTATAATTAAACTTAAAAAAAAATTCAATATTTTAGGGGTGCCAGGCCCCTCCAGGTCCCCCTAACTCTGCCACTGAGTGAGACCCCTAACCACTACACCTATTAACATCTCATTTTCCGCTTCTCTCTCATCCTCCGTATCACGTGATACTAGAAAAAAATGATGTGGTCCATTGCCTATTTTCAAAAAAAAAAAAAGGATGTGGCTTATTTTTTTTGGTAGCAAAGAGAGACAGCATATATATTTAATGTGCTACAGTAGTCTTGGGAACTTATTCCCAATAATATTTGAATACAACAAGTTACAAAGATGGAAAGGACATTGATCAAGCACAACAAAAAGTAGAGTTTGACTTTGCACCCTTTTTAGGTAGGGATGGCAATGGGGCGTCATGGGACTAGGGAGTTCTTTCTTGTCCTCGTTTCCATGAATGGCGAGGATGGAGATCCTTACAAGGATTTTTGACGGGGGTAGATTTTGCCTCTCATCCTCGCTCCTCGCAATGAATGGGGATCCTCATTTCTCGCCAAGATCTCCATTCCCCCATCCCAGCAACAACTCCAAACCAGCAGTGTGTTGTTCGACTCCAACAATAACTTTAGACCAACAATATGTTGTTCAACTCCAGTAGTAGTCTAACAGCAGCTCTAGACCAACAATATGTTGTTCGACTTTGACAACAGCTCTAGCAATAGTAGCTCTAGACTAGCAGTATGGTGTTTAACTCCGACAACAGCTCTAGCAACAATAGCTCCAGACCAGCAGCATGGTGTTTGATTCCGACAGCAGCTCTAGCAAATTAGCAACGGCAATGGAGGGATTTAGGGCTTCTAGGTTAGGAGAAAGGCAAAAGTGAAAGTGAGGGCAGAAGGGTGAGAATGGCAGAAGGGTGAGAAAGGTAGAAGGGCAACAATGGAGGGATTTTGGGTCTAAAGAGTGTTGACGGTTGAAGAGGATGGGAAGGTGAGAGTGATGAGAAATGAGTAAAATTAGGGTTAAATAGTTAATAATGGGTTGGGTTAATTTTTATGGGTTAGGTTAGGTAAAATTGAATTAAGTTTAATTTCTATTGGATTGAGTTTGAGTTTGAAGGTTGAATTAGATTTAAAATAAAATTAATTTATGTATTTTTTTAATTTTTTGCAAGGATGGTGATCGGGGAAAATTCTAACGAAATTTTACAGGGGAAAATGCCTCCCGTCCTCACCCCATAAGAAAAAATATTCCTTCCTCCCATCTCCATGGTGCAGATCCCCATGGAGTCTTGAAGGGATCGAGGTAAATTGACATCCCTATTCTTAGCCAACTCGTCAGCAATAGCATTGGCTTCTTTGAAGACATGACTAAGTTGAAGGTTGGGGATTTGTGTCATCATAGCCGTGCAATCATTAATTAAAACACCCAATGAGTGAGAAGTAGAATTAACAAAGTCGGGCAGTGTTTTTACAACCTTAGAATCAGTTTTAACAAGTAAATGGGAAAACCCCCTATCCACAACAAGTTTGAGACGATCTCTTAATGTCCATAGTTCGGCCCAATGACTGGACATGAATCCAACATTCTGGTAGAACCCCAACAGCTAGTTCCCAAGATCATCCCTAAAAACCCCTCCGGCACCCACATCTTCCGGGTTTGAATTAGCTGAACCATCTGTATTCAGCTTAATGAAACCAAGTGGGGGCGAGTTCCAGCCAACAAGAACAATGGATAAAGGTTTAGTGTTAAAAGATGTGGCATTTATGATCGGTGAATTAATCTTTCATGTAGTAATTATAGTAATTTTATTAAAGATTTGTGTAACCTGTACTCCAAAATCATAAATTAAGAATGTATTAAATATATTTATTTATCATAAATTTATATTAAAAAAGAGTTTCAAAAAATGATAT